TATCTATCTATCTATCTATCTATCTATCTATCTATCTATCTATCTATCTATCTATCTATCTATCTATCTATCTATCTATCTATCTATCTGCTTTACATCACCGCCATCTAGTGTTCATCCAGCAGAAAACCCATCTTTCATCGGTCCCGCCTTCTCTTTAACCAGATTGGCTCTCTTTCTTGGTCACGTGCTTCCCGTTCTTCCTTTCCATTGGCTCGGCGAGCTGCCCGTCACGCCAGACTTCTGGAAGTGTCCGCCGCCCACAACGAACATGGAGGACGATATTTCCGATTTGAGCAGACCGCAAATGTTTTTGTTCGGTGAGCTCGCTCCTTCCAGCAAACATTTAGCGAACGAGTCGCACAAACAGTTGTAATTCATCGTTAAATATGCGGTAATTAAACACTGTAGACGAAGGCAGACGAATAATGGCTATGCTTTTCACTCGCTCAGCTTCATTGTTGTTAGCTGGCCTGGTTAAAGCGTGTTTCTGAAAACGGTTGTGTGCTTAATATTTAATTTATTGGTGCATGTTTAATCAGTGCATGTGTAAGCCGGAGTTGTTTGATCCCCAGGTTGTACCTTGAAATCGGATAAGCGGGAGTTTAAAGTTGACATAGATGACGACGATGCAGAACAGCAGCTGTCACTCAAAGCAGTAAGAAACTCTTCATTAACTGCACAGAAAGCCTTTTTTTCTTGTAAGATTAACTTTGTTTATGTTTTCCCCTTTATAAACATGCACACACGTTTATAAGACTGACTTTATAAATACTTTATTATATCTAAAGAGGAACATTTATAGTCAACAATCATTTGCACTCATTTAAATTATTAATAATCTGAATCATTTGCTCTGTTATTACCCATTTTAAACTTTAACATTTCTGCTGTAATTGCACATCTGTGTTTCTTGTCTGCACAGTGATAAATTCCAATTTCTAATGTCAGATTCTGTTAGGTAACTACAGCCTGTAAAACAAAACATATCTTTTTTATTGTTGCACAATCCTTTATATTATATCTGTATTATTAATAGTCGTGCCATTGCTAGTTAGTGGTAATTTCTTTTTTTATGCATCGTCTATATTTTGTAAACTAGTGTGTGAACCTCTGTACTGATGCTGCTGTGATACCTGCATTTAACCTCGGCAGGACAATAAAGTCTATTCCAGAGGAGCCCAAAGTGGGGCCCGCGGGCCAAATTTGGCCCGCCAAGCCATTTGATTTGGCCCGCCAGCAGTTGGATAGTTACAAGGTTGTAACCCATCATACTATGTAGAAACACAGTATTTCCACTGAAAGTCGTTTTATTCATTGGTCAGACGAATATAGATGCAGATACTAWAAGAYKTTTTTCCTTCTTTCTGCCACCTTTCATTTTATTTGTGATTTGTATTTTTATTGTACATAAATTTTGTCAATATATAAGGGACTGTAGTGCAGATAGTTTTCACTGATGGTGCTGACTTTATCTTTGATATATTAATATTAAACATGAAACGTGAAATACAAGTAACAACAAGAGGTATTTAGATTAGATTTAACCACACACGTAGATTTGCCCACGTTATAAGGCCACAAAAACTCAAATTTTATCAATTTATGAAATGTCCCATGAGCCTTTGCTGCTTGAGTGTATGGCAGACTTCACTAAAAACCAAAGTGGGCCA